CTGAGGTCGAAAACCGAGAGTCGAGACCGCGGAGGTCGAGAACCGAAAGTCGAGACCACTGAGGTCGAAAACCGAGAGTCGAGACCAAAGAGGTCGAAAATCGAGAGTCGAGACCGCTGAGGTCGAAAATCGAGAGTCGAGACCGCTGAGGTCGAAAACCGAGAGTCGAGACCGCGGAGGTCGAAAACCGAAAGTCGAGACCGCAGAGGTAAAAAATCGAGAGTCAAGACCGCGGAGGTTGAAAACCGAGAGTCGAGACTGCGAAGGTCGAAAACCGAGAGTCGAGACCGCGGAGGTCGAAAACCGAGAGTCGAGACCGCGGAGGTCGAAATTCGAGAGTCGAGACCGCGGAGGTCGAAAACCGAGAGTCGAGACCGCTGAGGTCGAAAACTGAGAGTCGAGACCGCTGAAGTCGAAAACCGAGAGTGAGACCGCGGAGGTCGAAAACCGAAAGTCGAGACCGCGGAGGTCGAAAACTGAGAGTCGAGACTGCTTAGAACTGATAATTGCCGATGTGGTCGAAAGACATAGGCTGAATGACCACTCCCTGAAATCTTGAATTTGAAAATTTGAATCTATGTATGTTGTGTTTCGATCACCATGTTCGAGCTCTCTTATACCACCTCGTCCTATCGCCCCTCAGTTCAAAATTTAAAATTCAAGCCTGCTGTATATTCCTACACGAGCAATAATAAACGTACTCGACCCGCCACTAAGGTCGAAAAATAAAATTGACAAACCCATAATCAAAATAAAATGCTATCAACCTGCTTGAGCCGTAATGAATCCTATTTCCCTGCCTTTGAAGTTGAAAGTCGATTCGACAAAACCATAATCAAAATAAAATGTAATCAACTTGCTTGAGTCGTAATGAATCCCATCTCCCTGCCTGCTCGAGTTATCCGTAGCGATTTTGATCGACCTGCTCGAGCTATCTGTAGCGAGTTTGATCGACATGCCATTGAGGTTAAATGCACAAGTATACAGTAATACCAGATCAAATAAAACCAAGTGTAAATCATCGACCTTCCTCCGAGGCCTGCTCGAGCTATCCATGTCTTCACACTTGCCCACCCGTCCAAGGGATGTTCGAAATAGGGGGTCAACCTGCTCATCCCAAGGGGTGTACTAAACAAGCGACCACCCAGCCCGGAGGCCTTAGTCGTGGTGGAATTTGTCTTCAGGCACTTGCCGACCCCGGGGGGGCCTTCCGAAACAAGCGA